AGAAAGAAAGAAGGAAGGAAAGAAAGAAAGAAAGAAAGAAAGAAAGAAAGAAAGAAAGAAAGAAAGAAAGAAAAAGAAAGAAAGAAAGAAAGAAAGAAGAGAAAGAAAAAGAAAGAGAAAGAAAAAGAGAAAGAAGTCAGGTAAGGCCTCACTGGAGAGTGATGTTTGAGTAAGGACCTGAAGCCGGGGAGGAGTCACATACAAATTTGGGTGAACAGCTTGCGGGCAGAGAAGTAAGAGAGGTAGCAGATGCAAAGACCCTGAGTGGGAACAGCAAGGGGCTGACTTGGGTGCTGAATGAAGCTGACAGTGTCGGGGAAGAGTCTAAGGACATGAGGACAGAGAAAGAATGAGGCACCAGATCTCACAGGCCTGGCAGGCCTCGGACCGACAGGAGTTTGACTTTGACTCTGCAGGATTAGAAGGATGACTCGATTTTTATGTTGAGAACAGGAAGACAACGCCAGGCGGGAATCTTGGCAGTAATCCAGGAAAGGGCAGTAGAGGTGTGGCCCGAAGTGGGAGCAGCAGCGGAGGTGAGCAGCAGCCAGCCTCTGTAGACTGTATTTTGCAGGTGGAGCTTACAGGTTAGTGAGGGCCTGGAGGCAGGGAGTGAGGAAAGGAAGCTGTCAGGGATGACTTCAAGTTGTTGGGCCTGAGCAACTGGAAGGACGGAGCTGTCCTTGCCAGGATAGGGCAGAGTGGGAGGAAGCGGTCTGGGGAATTGGAGCAAGGCTGAGCCTGGGGCTGTTTCACTTGAGTTACTGATTTAACATCCTCCTGGAGCTTCCTAGCAGGCAGACGTATAAACAAGTCTGTTGTTGAGGGAAGGCATGGACATATAGATAGCATTGGAAGCCATGAGTCTGGATGAGCAGGAGTAGGAGGGACGAGAAGGCCCAGAAATGACCAACACCAGCCTCCTGGTGCAGGGCAGGAGGGTTGGACATCATGGACGAGAATACTGGAGAAGCACAGCCCCCTGTCCCTCCTCAGCCTTGCCTCCTACCCTGTCCACCTCTATGAAGGTATCATTGCATTAGTGACATTCACATTGACAACCTGGATTCATAAAGAGAAATGAGCAAAGCAACAGCTCGGGGTGTGTGGAGCACCCAAGTGAGCACTCTCTGCTCGGGGCTCCCTCCTGTGCCATCTCAGTAAAGTTCCTCATACATGCAGAGGGCAGAGAGCCCTGAGGTTAATTTTTAAAAGGTTTCTACCAAAAAAGTTAAATCTTAATTAAGCGTACATCTGAAATTCAAACAGATCAGCTCAGTTTTCGGTAAAATGAATTCGCAGGGACTAGCTCTTGCCCAGGGACATTGGACAAATGAGATTTGCTCTGTGTGAGTTAAATCAAGGTGGGAGGAGTTGGGAAGCAGGGAAAGGAACTCATTCAAGTCCTCCTAGTCCAGGATCAATGAGCATCTATTCGTTCCTCAGCACTCTCCCGAGGCTGATGAGCACAGTTTGCTGGAGAGAGTTCATATTCCATGCTCGTATTAATCTTTCCTTTCCGGGGAGCTTGCCAGTGTGCTGAGGAAAACGCACGTCCTGCCAGCATTGCTGATGTGAATGAGAGCCCTTTATTCCTCTGGCTTCTCCT